TCAATTTTGGTATCCAAGGAAATGCTTCCCAGACAAGTAAATTGATGTAGATAAGATATGAAAAGATGATAACCGATCTATAGTGGTACAAAAGATGATAACCGATCTATGGTGGTACAAAAGATGATAACCGATCTATGGTGATATTTCTGTCTTCTTCAAACTAATATTCAATCCAGAAATCTTTGCAGTTTCTACAAAGCAAGAAGTTAAGTGTTACAAGGATTCTATTATAGAGTTTTGGTAAGTGCTTTCAGTGATCCAAGATTGAAACGAACTGCGTCAGTATGATATCGAATGTAAATACCATTTTCTTCATCGAGGTCTACCGCCACTCTGGAGCTTTTATGCTAAAGATTAATGTGAATAGGATGATGCGAGAACACAACCTTCACAATATTTTGTTCGAAAAACCGATTTATAATGTGTGAAACAAAACTGTATTAATCAAAAGATTGTTATTATAAACAATTGACACGTAATGTTAAAATTCCATCTGTTATTAAACAAAAATTGAATATTCTTAGATACAAATATAAAATTGTTTCAAAATTATATATCGTATACAATCATTTATCTAACACTAATCTTCCAGTTGTAGCTGAATCTGGTAGAATAGTTCTTCCATTGTAATCTTTCGCTTGTTATAAGCCAATGCCCACTATATAAGGACTTGAACTCTTTGTTTGAGTCAGTCTTAACTGACAATCAGTCATAATCTCAGTACTTTCGCTACATCAGAACAATCTTTGATCTGCATTCAACTCCAACAAATATAATTCGATACCATATAATAATCCTTATGACGTCGAGTAAGAAATTTTTTTCTGTTATTCGTTTGTATTAATCAATCAACTATAATACCTTTATCATTAACAAAAAAAAAAAAGTCAGATAGATTCATTTCGATCATCGTGAAAGACTCAAAGAGTGGAATGTCATATCTGACTTCACCGCGCTGATTATCTTGCAATAAAATAACCATGGTGAAGGATTTAGAAGAGCATTACAAAATTTATCATAAGTATTTCTTATTCATGGTTCGAATACTTTAATAAGGTCAACAAAGGTCACAGCAAAAGTGATTTTTCTCTTTGCACTTTTCTTGTACTGTCTGAGAATAAATATCATATCTGCATTGTTTGTGTTAGCTCGAAAATCACAATGGCTTTCAGGTATAAGTATTTTTGTAATATTAGTCTTAGAAATAATCTTTCAGGAATTTTACGAACTACAAAAATGATACTTTGATAGTTGAGTCCAATGTTGAGAACTGGGCATAGCTTCTACTTGGGAAAGTAGAAGCTATGCCCAGTTCAGTTTTTTTAATTGTTAAGTGATATACTGAAGTGCTTACTGTTTCATTAAACGATAGGCATTGAAAAGAGGTCAAAAGTATTTGAACTAATCGGTTGACAGTGGAAGATTTATTTGTGAGAAGGAAGAGACTGACTGAGAATAGAGGTATATGAATCTAATGTATTGGTCCATGCACTACTTTTAGAGTTCACTGTGGTCGCAACAATCCGGAAATGATTGAGTATTAGATTGATCCATCACTTGTTCTTGATATTCTGAGATTTCTGCTGGCGTGCAAGATGTGTTAGAACAAAAGTTGTTTTTCTTGCTAAACGGAATGGATGAGCGTGTATAGACTGTTAACATCAAACCGATCTTTAAGTTCTTTGATGGGAACCGTAAGCAATTCTGCGAATTCTACTGGGTGCTATTTTTGATGAATTGGTAAAGTATTTTAGGAGAAGAATCTAATAGTGATTCACAAGTAGTAATTTCAACTCTTAGTTTCTTTTTTTAGGCTTCGCATCAAAGTGGTAATTGAATTTGCATCGCACAAAGCGGTTGTCTATCTAACATTTTGCACTAAGCATCATAATTCGAATATGACGAATGCTTGCTTCTGTGATGCATTACGATATAGCAGCCAATGAGGATGCAGAATACATTCAGACTGCCTTTATGTTGAAAGATTCTATTTATGATCGTTAATTTTTGCTCTGCGCGCAAAACTCTATCAGAAGATGTCCATTGTCGTTGCAGTTTGCAACACTATGTTTGCCTAGCAACATTTGTTCTACAACTTCAGAGTTCTGTTCTACTCTGTCATTGAAATTAAAGATTATGATTTTGTCATTTACAGAACTGTTTTGAATGATTAGGATTAGTGATTTTTTCCGCGCGATTAGTTTGAAGAGCTCGGGCATATATACTGCAAAGGACAACATGTTGCTTATTGTGCAAAAAAAAAAAAAACGATTAGAACGAAATGCCGTCGGCAAGTTAAGTTTGGAAAGAACTGAGTTCTTGATCATGAAGCCAGCTTCTGTCGGAAAACTGAAGAAAGCCATAAGGCAATGAAAGTTTCTATATAAACCATAAAGGATTCACCATATCACTACAAAAAATTAACTGCAACGTTTTCTCTATCAATGATAAATCTGTTATCAATCCAAATCGTTTAGCATATCTGCCATGCTAATCATCAAAAATTTTTATTTTTTGTAGCAATTTCATCCACTACATAAATTCTAATTTTGTATTTTATTGTAGCATAACTTACTTGTCTATAATATTGTATATATATAAGTCCTAGTTAACTATTTTGATTCATTGATTAAACCCTCTAAATCGGATGTTCTACTAGACTATTGTCCTGGATTACTATACCTTTACTTTTAGATTACTGTACTTTTATTCTAAGTAAAGACTCTATATTTGGTTATTTGTGTACTGTAAATCGGTGTTTTTTTCTGTGCCAAGAAAATTGAGTTGGGTTACAAAAATGCTCGCTTATTGCAACAATTTGTTTCAACGTTTCCCAGAAGAGAAATAGTCAACGCAGTTCAACAAAAAACAATAATCTAACTTGTCATGTGATTCAATTCCTGACCGGAAACATTCGATTTCCGGTTATCTGATCAGAAAAGTGTGGTCAGTACTATTTTCTTTGATACTGCTTAGACGAATTTCACTAAGGCCAACAATATTGATGGTAGATTGTGACAATTTTTGGCTATTTGAGCAGAACACTCGGGACATCCACTATCTGCAGTATCAGGCATGGTTCAAATGAGAGATTCAATCTAAACGGGAGGATGCATGACTTCCCTTGCTGTCCCCATCTGACCGCAACAAAAGACTGTGACAGTGGTTGGCCAACATGTAGATGAGCCTTGGTTAGCCCAATCTTTTAAGCCTCTGTCTATATAAAGCAAACAATGCTGTCCTTGGTATCAATCTAGAACTACCAAAATCCTGAACCTTCTTCATGCATTTATGGCTTCTAATGTACCATTTTCAATCCTCACTTGTAGCTACAAAGTTTGTGAAAGTCGATATATCTTTCAAGCTTACGCAAAGGCTTTTCAAATTAAGCATAACGTGATCTTATCCTCTACACTTGAATGTCATCTGTCAGTGCTCGCAAACTTGAATAGTGATAGTTTGAACGGAATCTCTCAGACGGTATATTTGTTTGGAGTATTCTCCTAGTATGTGGAAGTTTTACAAATGAACATTCCACAAGAAATAAATGTTTGTTTTTTAATCAGTTGCTTATCTATCAAATGCTATTCACTTTTTTCTTCTCAATTTAAATTTTCAACCGAAGAATAAAAGCATATGAACCATAATATTGATTATAGATTAAAATTTAACTTAAAATATTTGAAAATTAAATTAAACAAATGAGTTCTTTTAATTTTTTTTTTGCATGTATGATGTATGCATATATAAATATATTAGCATCTATGCAATCAAGTAAGTAAATAAAAACTTAAAATTAAATTTTAAGTTACTATGAAAGCATATGCTTATTTACTCTACTTACAGATTTGAAATAGAATTGTTCTCTTGGCTGAAAGCTAATCAGTCTATACCAAACTTTCTGTGACCTTTTCAGTTAAAATATGTTTGACTTGGAAAGATTTACATACAGCATAGCTCGGAATCTCCCAAGGACACATAAACTCGTCTGCCATAACAAAGGGTTTGTCTGAAGAGGAGAATAACGATAATAGACGATAGTATACAACATTATAGGTAAATAAAGGTAAATATCACTTCAAATGAAATAATAGGTAGAAAGTGCTAACAAATTAGAAAGTATCACAAAAAAATCTTTAGCAAACTTATCATGTTGACAGCATTCATTCAAACGCTGTTTTTTCTTTCACTAAATCGGATGTTGCTTTAGATTTTAAATAATAGCTGAGAAACCGGTTTCGCCATCAAACCGGTTCGAAAAGTTTTCAACTTCACAAAAGCAGGAAGGAATGACGGACATGTTGCTTTTGTATTTAACAAGTTTTTCGTGTTTCGCTTTTTATTTCAATAAAGGATAATATTAATTTAACAAATAAGGAAATATATCATATTGTTTAAAGATGATTGCCCATAGTTTACATGATATGATAAGTTTTAATCCAAACTGAGTTGCTTTACATTTGAAAGTTTGGACTTAAATTCAAAAATTATGCATTGATGTAACAAAAAAGCATACATCGATTTAAAAATAAAGAGCTATTTTGTCTAAGAGTTTAGTTTGGAATGTTTAAAATCTGTTGAAATTCACTTGATGCTTAGAAATTGAAGCACATGAAAAATATTATGATGTTCTTTTAAGATAAATACAGAATTATTAATGGAAATAAAAACAACACGGGAAAAAAGGGACAATTAATATTTTGCACTGAATATTAATACTTTAGATGATTTTTAATCAAAATCTGATGGGAAAAAAAAATTTACTCAAAATTCAATAAAACTTTTCTTTCTTTTTTTTTTTTAAAAAAAATACATTGATAGTATCCATTTGGACCCGAAATATTAAAATTTTAATTTTCAAAAACATCCTTAATAGATTTCAAATGATACTTATTCTAAATATATGATATAATTTGAATATAATTCGAAGAATTTCATCGAATATAAATGTCCATGAAGAATTCTCTTGCTTCTTTAAGTCTATTTCGAATGTTTCTTCACCTCAATCCGAATAGTCCACCACCAAGAGAAGGTAACTTGTATGGAGGTGGTGGTGGAGGTGATGCTATATATGCTGGTGCTGGAGGTACCTTATATGATGGTTGTGGAGGAGGAGGAGGAGGAGGAGCACTGAAATAAATCAAAATTATAATTAATATTATTACGACGATAAATTTAATTTATTTCGAAAAATGGAAGCAAAATTGACTTAAGTTATTCATAATATCTCGCAATAATGATTGCTTTCCTGTTAACAATCAAATATGAAAAAATTATCACAAACGGTAGATGAAAGTTATTATTAAATATTTATTAGAAATTGTGATTTTTTTTAAAATTTCAATAGGCTTTCTGAATTTTAAGATTAAAATTCATCAAATACTTAGAATAAAATCTAAGTTAATTATATCAAAGATTCCATTACCCATATACTAGCTTTGAATTTAACTTTAAAATTTCAATAACTACTTATTATTTATATTTACATTTGGCCGCATCCGCATCTACAGCCGCATCCACCACATCCACCGCATCCACCGCATTCCTTTTTCTTATCACTAGGGAAAATATTACCACAACACGAAGATTGTGGTAACAGCCATGAATAGTCTGGCAGTGATGGCAGGAAAGGTGAGAACGAGGGTAATTCCGGCTTTGCCCCCCCAGCGCAGCAGCATTTACCGGCAAGGTGCGGAAGACTTTGCTCAAACATCATAATCAATAAGATCTAAAAAATGAGTTATTTAATTAATTGGAGACTAAATAGTGATTTTTGGAATTATTTAAAAAGGTTAAAGATCACATTGAGATATATGTTTTTTTAAATAATTTCTGTTAGCGATTAAAAAAAATTGTTCTCAAATAAAAACTAAATTATCACAGATTTTTTTAAAAAAAGTAAACATAATAATTATCTTTAACAATATTTTGCATTCGTTACAGTGAAATACATGTGAAATACATGCAATAGCATATTAATGTTTATTTTATAAATCTTCAAAAGGTTGAAAATGAAATAAAAGCATACCGCTATTTTAATTAGCATATTCATTTGAAAGGAATGCACAAATGAAGATTGCTCAGGATTTTATTAATTTTAAGTAGGATTCAGGATGATGAAAATAAACGTTAGAAAGGAGTTTAAGTACTTCCCAAAAGGAATTTAAATGCCTCGAAGGTATGAAAAAAAAAAACTGCATTATGTTACAAAAAAAAAAAGGAAAAAAACGAAAAGTTTTTGATGAGAAAACTTTATTACTCTATGTAACATACGTAATAACATTGTGGCGATTCTTTTTTTGTTTTTGTTTTTTTTTTTCCGTAAGTATTAATGTGTTCATCCGTATATTTGTAAATTTTTGTAAAAATATGTAAATGAATGATGTGTATAATGTAAAAATTTTATTTTTACAAATACTAGTTATTTTAGACAAACGGAAAAATTTATTTTGTAAATTTACTGAGAATTGTTGATTTGAATATAAAAATGAGTTAATTACTGAAATTAGAATAGAAAGAATAACAATGTATCATTGAAATAAATGAAAGAAGATTGAAGAGGAGTGAGAATAGAAAAAGAAAGCCAAAAAATGAATTTAAATTGTCGTTAATGTCTTTTCTCTTCCTTTTACTCTCCCTTCCTTACTTTTTCTGCTTCCCTTTCATTTTTGCTCGTTTCCGCAATTATTTACATTTATCATTTTTAGATTCACTGATTAGCTTTTTCTAAAACCCAAAATTTGATCAAAATTGAATTCAAATTTATGCATTTAAATTTTAACTAATGTTTATGTATTATATTGTTTGCTATATTTCAAAATTTGCTAATGATTTTATAAAATTTCTTTTACTGTTGCAAATATATTATTTTAAATAAAGATAATATAGCATTAGTAAGCGTGATAGTGGCGCTTAAACGTGTCAAGATTCCGCGTGATACGCAAAATTCGTAGCTTTTCACTTTATACGTAATACGTGTTCATTTTGGTTTACATATGTAACTTTAAAAATTTATTGCAAAAAGAAAGGCAAACATTTGATAACAATTACTTTCTCATCTCATAACAAAGCTCAATGTTCAATCTTGTTTCTTTGGAAAGATATATTGAAAACAAATAAAATAAAATAAAATAAACATATAGAATTTAAAAAAAAAAAAAATAGAAAAATTTGAAAGAAAGAAAAAAAATTACTCTTTGAAAGAATAAAATCGATAACCAAATGAATAGAAATTTTACAACTTTGCATAAAATTTTGCTTTAATTAGTAATGATGTAAACTAAGTGTGAATGATATTGATATCATTATGACAATCATTTTATCTTACTATTAACTATGTTAAAGTAAAATTTATCACCTCGTATAATTCAATTCACAGTTTTTAAAAAACTGTTTCTATTATTTTTTAAAAGCTTATATGTATTGCAAATTACTTTGTCTATACTTTTTTTACAAATTAAATTTTATAAGTTATAACTATCTAGACACATTTAAGGATAATAATAAAATAATTGTTATGCTGTTTTATTTTTTGAATTATTTCAAATTAATTTAAAAAATCTTTATCAAGGATAATTTGGCAGAACGCTAAATTATTAAACAACTTTAATTTCAGTTTAAACTTTTTTTTTAAATGGATGACCACTTCATCTCATGCAATCCTTTAACTGCCAAATTGGGCGATAAAAAAATATTATGACTGTCAGAAAAAATAAAATGATAAATGGTTTCTGTTTACAATGCTGAAAAGTGCTGAAAACAAGAAACAATCATCACAACTTCAAATATAAGAGAAAAAAAACAGATTACTTTAAACTACAGTGAAAATATTATTTAAAAAGGAAAAAAAAAACTTGCTGAAAGTTTTGATGCATCAAAACAAAAAAAAAAAAAAAATAATAATAATACGTAATAGTTCTACGAATAGATTTTAATTATTGTTAGTAATACTTACTTACATATTTTATGTATTGTCATATTACCCAAAATATGTTAGTACTGTTAAAAGTTTAATGTTTGAAATGATAAAAACTGAGAAAAAAAACAAGTAAAATAAATTTAACTTTTTAATGGATTACAGACATTTATTATTTTAACTTTAAATAAACAATATTCCTGAAATTCTTAAACATAAAATTGGAATAGTAAAATTGCATATGACTTTATGATTCTTTTTCTTATATTCAATCACATTACCAAAAAAAAAAAAAAAAAAAATATTATTTGAGAACCATTTAGATTAATACATATGCAAGTAAGTCTAAAATATTATAAATATTCGGGCACTAATGATCATTATGATTTTGCATAGATTAATTTAACATACACATTACAATTTATGCTAATTTAAAAACCTTCCGTTACAACTTATATCAAACGTTAAACTTTCGATTTTTTTTTTCCTCAAAATTCTCTTTTGTTGTCGGAATGATAAATACGAGTGTGTAAGGTCAACTTAATACAATTTTATCAATGAAACCATAATAAATTAGCAGTGATTTTTTTTCAAACGAAAAATTTTCCATTCATGTGACAATGTCTTTCAGCTAAAAATCAACCAAATAAAATTTTTTTGAATTTATTTTAAAATTCTTATAAAAAAATAAGCCTAGAGAAAAAACAATCTGTTATGGATTCCGAACGAAAATGGAAGTTTTTTGTGTTGAATTAATCGCAAAAGATTGAATAACATCCCAATAAAAATTAAATTTAGTGGATATAAAAAATTCAGGTTTGGATATAAAATTAGTAAAATTAAACTGCAATATTTTCTTAAAAGAAAATACATCAAAAATTTGAATTCAAAAATTTTGATTATTAGTATATCATTGAACAGTTATACATTGTCGGTTTGATAAGAGACAAAGCCAACAGAATCGTTAATCCTTTTCCGCAATTTGCTGATCTCGTTGAATACAATAAATATCCAACCTGAATATCTCTTCACTATTTTCCGGTTCATGCCACTAACTACCATAAAATGGTATGCTATCCTTTGATATTTATCGAGAAAAAACAATTTCTCCCGCAAAAAAAAAAAAAGGTTAAACTAGCAAACAATGTAACGATCATATTTTGATAAACGTGAAATAATATCAAAAACGCAGTAAAAAGTAAAAACGTAAACGTGAAGTTCTAATACGTGAAGTTTGAAAATCTAATAAACTTATTTGGCATGTGATATTATTTTTAATATAAAGATAACACCACAACATTAACTCTTATGCGCATGTGTACTTGTCTCCTTGTGAAACAAAGTAGTTTTCCTTTCTTAATAGTTCAGATCGTTGACTTCTTTGTCCCCGATACTGGTAGAATCTCGAGTTTGTACTGGTTCCGTTCTGTGTACGTGTACTGTGGGAGTCTTCGTGAAATACTTTATTATTCAAACCTCAAACTTGGGTAATTAAACCAAAGATTAACATTAAATATTATACAACATTACAATAATGAATTGATACATCACGCACAAATGTAACTTTATTATAAACCATTTAAAGATACAAGCAAACTAGACACTTCGCAACCAATCCGTACCAAACAAGGAACTATAATGAATGGCTTTGTAAGGAAGAAAATTGGGAGGGATTTTATGGGTGTTAAGGTTACAAAGTGGATTAAAGTCACTTAAACAATAGTCTTTGTTCATTACGTTATAGCTTCGCCATTGTGGCACAGGATGAATGGAATTAAATTGACAGAAATTGAGAACCAATTTGAGCAAATGAATAAGCCAAATCCTTTAGTTTTCAGAATTTTCGTTACTTTTAGCAATTACGAGACAAGTTGATGCTGCACGTCAAATCCAGAAAAGATTAGCATCAAGCTATCCTAGTATTAGCCAAACTTTCCTTTATTAAAATATTTCTTGTAATAATAGTAAATTTATTTCATTATAGCATTCTTAAATTAATGCATAAAATCCTATGCGTGAATGTTAGTGCAATTAAAACCGAAAATTCTTTTATTATTCCTTCATTTCAAATCCATTTCGTAGCCATGGAATTATCACATTTAAATTACAGAATCTTTTTGAAGTAAGCGAATGTGCAGCAATAACAATTGGCACACAACTGGAAACTTTCCTAATAATTGGGATTGCATTCTGCGCTTGACTTACAACGTTTTCTTGAGAACTTTTATCATTTATCAAATCAGTGTTTTAAAATGCTATTAGAACTGCACCTGATTATCTCATCGGATTGATTGTTGATTTGATAATTTGATCTTTTAATTTGATGGAAAACTTAAGCATCAAAATTCCAAGTAGAATTCATTTTATTGTATAAAAAAAAAAACTAATTACGAGAGCTAAATAAATTTAACTGTAAAATATGTTTTTTTACATATGCCCTTATAAGTACTGATTGCTTTTATTTTGTATTTTTTATTGTAAATATTGACTAATTAAATTCTAATAAACTTGCCCAAATTTGCTTTATATTCTAAAATAAATTGGTCAGTTCGAGACTACTAAAAAAATTTGCTCATAATAATATTAAAAGGAAATTTAAACTATTAATGCAAATTTTGACACAAATATTTATGTCAAATTAAATTCCAACATCGATTAGCTTTATCACAACTCAATTGATCGTTGCAATTTGTTTTTTAAATATAAAAATTGACCAGTTCAGTGACCTCTGCTACCAAATTTTTAATGAAAATGTTTGAAGAGCAACTCAAATCTGATAAACACTCCATTCATTGGACTTC